CAGAGCTGGAGAAAACGCTTAGAGAAGCGGAAAAGCTGCTAATTGAAGAAGACGACGAAAGCGCAGAAGCCGGACAACCAGAACCTGTAGACAGCGGTAGAGCAAATAGTGCCACTTCGAGAAGCCTCGAGCAAGAAGAGGAAGCTCGTCCTTCATCTTCGCAAATTGTGAATCTAATACACTCGGGGAGAAGTACAATGTCAGAAGCGGAAAGGAAAGCGGAAATGATAAGAAAAGAGAGATTAGGGGAAACGGATGAGGAGGATTTCATGAGAGATGATGACAGCGATCCCATTGCTAGGGCAGGCTCTGACAAGGAGGAGATACTGGCTTCGGATGCGGAGGAGGTTGAAAAGATTGTTGAAGAGCGGGAGCAGGTGGTCCGCACTTCGGATTCCCAGAGGGAGGAAATTCTACCATCGGAAGATGAAGCTGAACCTAATAAAGTCTTAATCAGACCACCAACGACTCGCTCTGTAAGTTCACGAGCAAGCCGTGAAAAAACCCCTCAGGACCGCCCAACAACATCTGCCGATAGCAATCGGGAAGAGATTCTCCCTTCAGACGAAGAAGAAGCAGCTGTACCACCAACAGAACAAGAAGAGGAAGCAGTTGAAGAAGAAAAAGTAGATGCTAATCCAGATGAGCCACTGTCCGCAACTGCAGAAAATGACGAAGACGAACTTAGAAAAAAGAACGAAGCTGCCACAAAGATTCAAGCTTTCTATAGAGGATATAGAACTCGAAAGGAGCTGGCAGGTAAGTCTTCAATAATTTATCTCGAGCCACTCAACTGTACTTTTACAGTTCGGTTCCTTGAAAGCGAGCCAGAAATTATTCCAAGCATTCCAGAAGAGAAAATTGGCGATGAACAACTGGAGCCATCTACGGAAGCGGAAGCAAAAGAAGGTACAGATTTATTTTATTTCTACATGAAGTCCAGGTTTTGCCTACTCCCCTCCTGGGCAGTGGATCATGCAAAATTGCCTAATATTTTTACCAAAAACTTTTTTCAGAAATCGTTGTCGAGCCAGTGCCGGTGGCGGAACGACAGGCTACACCAGGACCAGGAAGAGAGAAAAGTGAGTAGTAAAAACTTTTCTGCATTTTTTCTTACATAGACGAAACTAGAGCAAAGCGGTGATGGATTTTGAATATTTTTTCATAATAAG